GGCACGTCCATTGATAGTGAAATGGTCGAGGCGCCTTTGTTGACCGAGTCACTTAGCGGGGCATTGAGAGCAGTTAGCGGCTCACTAACAAGATCCGAACGAAGCCCGCGAGCAACTGAGAGCGCTGCAAGTGCGAATTGACAGTCAAACAAAGGCGCAAGCAGTGGAACAATTAGCGTCCTGCCAGTCGCTGCTTAGCACCCTCCCACCCTCGCACTGGGAAGACAATCAATTACAATTACGTATTTAATACTTAGTTACAAAACTCACAAGTTAACAGCTCAAATATTGAAGCAACGCTAAGCGCCGCCAGATGGCATGGAATGGGTATGGTAGATGGAGATGGAAATGGGAATGGGGATGGAGTTGGGGACTCGAGTCAGTTCCAGTCGCAGCTCTGGCTTGATCTCGGCCTGGAGCTGGGCGAGAGTCTTGAGCAAGTCGCTCAAATGCGTTGAGTCAACACAATTGACGTTTCGAGTTGACGGCAATGATGATGTGAATGTGAATGTGAGTGCGAGTGTGAGTGCGAGTGCGAGTGTGTGGATATGTTGGCGTTGACTTCTGCTGAAAATGTGGCCAAGTGTGGCTGCCGCCTGGCATTTGCCTCTCGCATTTGAATGTTTGTTTAGGCCAAGTTGGCAGCGCATGAGATACGCTTTAGCCTGTAGCCCCTGTAGCGCCAGAGCGGGACAGCAGCGTTCACTTCAAGATACTCGCTATCCCACCAAAGCCACGAGAGACACCAAGACATCCAGACAGTCGGACAGCCGGACAGCCACCCATCCAGACATCGAGCCGAGCCGAGTCAAACTCAGCGCCTGTCTGTTGGCCATAATTGAGTGCACTTTCCATGGAACTGGCAGCGATTATGAAATGCCATCAGCAACTGCGCCATCAACTGCGCCAGCACCATCAACTGCAACTGCAACTGCAACTGCAACTGCCACGGCAACTGCAACGGCAACGGCAGCTATAAACGCGCAAATGGCGTACATCAGACATAAAAGCTGTGCCTCGCATCCCACTAGGGGCTGTGAGGCTGTGGAGCCGTGGGCATAGGGGTCGATGGGTTGAGTGTGGGGGTGGCATTTTATTATCGCATCGTAAATCAATTGATAAAGCGAAGCGGAAACAAGTGGCAGCTCCAATTGCCCATTGCAGCAAATAAATCTAGAAGACGCCGCTAACATTTTCGACATTTACTAGATGCACACAAGCATAGAGGATATTATTGGCGCTGACACTGCAAGAAAAGTAAAAGACACAAAACTCAAATCAAAGACAATCGACGAGAATGTGAAGAAGTTAAGGAAATTGTTAAATTATTAATGAATAAATTCAAAATTAAAATTATAATATTGATTTATAATTATATTTATTACTTCTATAAAAAATCAATGAGAATGTGAAGCAATTAAGGCAATTATTAAGTTATTAATATTATAATATATATTATGTACTTTTTTAAATAATTAAATCAATATTATTTTTATTAACTCTACAAAAAATCGATGAATATGAATTAGGATTATTATTAATTCATTAATTTTATATAGATCATACTATGTGTTTTTATTAATTAATGAATTATTATTAAATTTATCACTTCTATTTACAAAATTATTTTTTGGTAATTTAAGTTTGTTACAATTTTTATTTTACAATTAAAAACTAAAAATAAATCAAATTATAACAAAATATATGTGAGTAATGTATGTATATAGGTATGTATTATAATAAATATAGATATGTATTATATATAGATATATAGATATATGACACATTGAGATAGTAATGCTAACTGTAATATGATTTTTAAAAAATATTTCTAGTAACGCCTTCAACTCAATCATAACAAACTCAAAGTGCTAAAGAAAGAAGATGGAAAATGAATGATAATGAATTCGACTTTCAATGCAGTTTCTATAACTTTCAAATATATTTGAATAAAAGGCTTACACATATGCTGTAAGTGTACCTGCAGTTTAATATTTGAATGTGTGCCAATTATCATACATATGAGTATACAAGATTTTTTTAGAAAAAGATGTGGAGAGAGAGAGAGAAATATAGAATGTTTTACAAACTTTCCGTATATTTAAGTAGCTAAGGCTTACTCGAATTTCTTAATTAACTTAAATATAAGATGCATTAAAATTAATTGTCGTTTACTACAATATATTTTCCCTCTAGTCAGTGCCCTAGTTTTTTGCAGTGTAGTCATCGCAAAGCGACTTTGTGCGACCAGCAATTAATACGACAAACTGTAAAATGCCGCCTCGGAGTTTGTAGGCAACACCGAAACCGAAATGCAATTAGCGAAGGGGCTGCCACGTGGCGATATCAAAGGGGAAGATGCCAGAAGATTTTGTGCCTCAAAGGCGCATAAATCACAGATGCTTGGGGCAGGAGAAGGGTTGCCAAGGGGGGAGGGCCAAGGGGTGCAGCCGATCGTTGGGCGCCCACACAGCAAGCGGCAAGTGCAGATGGCTTTTGGGTGGGGTGGGGGTGGTGGCTGGGCATGATGAGGTTGACTTATGTGGCATACGCGCACATATGGGATTTTGTGGCTTTTTAATAGCCGATCGCTACATTGTAGCCAAAGCGCAATTGGAATTCCTCAGGCCGAAATGGCAAAGTGAAATTTAGTGTGTCACTTGGCAATTTCTGCTAATTAGAAGTGTTGAAAAAGACTTTTGACTAGTTCCAGCTAGCAGCTCCAGCAGCGCCGGAGCCAGCTCATTTCCGGCTCATTTGAGTCGAGTTGAGCCACATGCAATTGTCTAATTGGTTCATTACGTGCCCAAATGGATTTGCGCCTCTATAAGACGCCTGATTTAAGCTGCTTGGCAATCGCTTCAAGGGGGGCGGGCAGAGGGCAAAAGGCGGGCAGGCCGTGGTGTGCATGTGTGGTATGGCATGTGGCAACATGGCAACGCACATAGTCGTATTTCTTTCATTTTTGTTGTAGCGAGCATTTGGCGCAATTAGCGTTGGCATTAATTCATTTTATGTGGCCCGATCTCTGCCAGATTCGCATCAGCATCAGCTGCACACATCAACGCTTGCCAGTAAATGTCAGCTGCCGATCTGGTTGTGCCGCCACCCGCCACCCGCCACCCGCCATCCCCTACCCCCATCTTTCCCCCTCGCTGCCTCCCACAACAACTTTGTCTGTCTATGAATTTTCGCATTTTAAAATCTTTGCATTTATTTTCAGCAAATTAACGCGAGTTGCAGCTCGCCCGCTAAATCTGTGCTAATGAATCATTTGATGTGGTTGTTGTTGCTGTTGCTGTTGTTGTTGTTGTTCGGCTGGGTGCAGTTTCATTTGATGGCAACCGTGTTGTCTTGTCACAATATTTGTTTATATGAAGATTTGGTTTTTAATTAAATGGCAGAGCATCAAATTGAATCGAATGCTGTTGCCGTCACTCAACCCCATCCTCATGCTCGTTCTCCGACTCAACCACATCATTCTCATTGTCCTCGTTGGGCTGTGATTGTGCAATTAGCGAATCATATTCGCCCCTCTACCGCGCTGCTTCTCCTGCTCATGGCAGTTGTGTTCTCTGACTGGTTCTCAGTCTCCCTCTCACCCTCGACTGGTGACAAGTTTACATGATTTAAAGTTGCGCCGGCGACGGCCTTTGATGTGAATGCGAACGCGAACGCGAATGCGAATGCGACAGTGGACATGTCATCTGAATGAAGGCGCCGTCGCCTGTCTGCCTTCTGCTGCTGCTGCTGTTGCAGTAGCTGCTCAGCGGATAAGGCGTTGGGAGCTAGCCTATTAACCTGAATGCAGTCACATCTCACACGACTAATCCGCTATTTTCATATCAAATATTTGCAGTCACTGCATGAGACAACGCGACTGCTCCGACTGCGACTTTCCGCGTATCAAATTAATCATTAGCTCGTATATCACTCAACTTTAATGCAGATAGAAACATTTACTCACGCCATGTTAACATTATATTATGCATATTCATAAGCGACTTTAAGGCTTTCAATAAATTACACAATTTTATATATTAATTATAGCAGGTAGTATACATATATGTAAATTATACCGTATACATATAATTATAGGCAATGTAGAGCGAAGGAGAAAAACTAGATTTTTGTTTTTTTCATTTATTTATATTTATTTATTTATTATAAACTGAATATGTAGAAACTGTTTAAGAACTACTCTGATATAGTTTAAATTAACAAATAATGTGCAAATAATCTTCCTGAAATTATTTCAATCGTAACACACTGCAGTACAATACAATATATAATAATTAATAGATATTATATTTGCATATCTAAAGGCGTCATATCGATAAATCAACTCGATGCAATCCTCATGTGGTACTTTGATTATACAAAAATCTGTAATAATATCAATTCTGTTACTAAAAAGTCGAAACAGTAAATGCCAGCCAGCAATAGCAGCACAATGCATTAAGGTATCTTTTAGTCGAATATTCTAATTAGTTTTTATTAAGTTTATACTGAAATCCTGATGATAGACAACAAAGAGGTTTTTTCATTAGCACATTCTTTCATCTGCTTCTTTAACAAACAAAATTCGACTTCATTTAAATATTGAAAATGTGAACGTGGCATGGAAAAGGCCTGATAATGCGTTTCCTAATTCATAAGATATATATCATCTTAATTCGAATCAAAACGGAACTCCATTTAGATCTGCAAAGTTTTAACCTAAAGCAAATACTTGTAGATGGCTATAATCGGTACCAAATTATATTTCTTTCAAATTATTTATAAGTTTTATTGTCATTATATTATTTTAAAATCTATCATCAAAATGCAGATATTTGGGCAGGTTTATATATTTATTTATAATTTTGATTTATCTTACTCAGTGATTCTCATAAAATGCGTAAGGGCAATTTTCCGTCTCACCTTTAAATGGAATAAATAAAAAATCACATTTTAATTTTTTCAAATATATTTTTTATTTTAATTAATTTTTTTTTAAAGTTTTTTGTTTGTTTTTAGGTTTTTGTTTTAGCACATGGATTTCGATAAATTGCTTTTGTTTTTGTTTAGGTGCATGTGAATTGATGTTCATAAACTTTGTATTTTCTTTTGTTTGTTTTTAAAGCATTTTTTATGTTTTTATACATAACAATTTCGTTTTGCGTCTTAAAAACTAGAAATACTTCTTCGCCAAAGCGCTTTAATGTGTGTGTGTGTGGGTGTGTGTCTTGTCTAAGCTAGAAATTAATCTAAAGAACTTTTAAATTACTTATAACATGTCAAGCATATACATACATACATATGCATATATGTATGTGTGTATATTTATATATAGAATTATACAAGAACGTAGGTGTTTTATAGAAATAAGATAGGGTAAGCTATTCGTGGCAAGACTGCAAAAGCTTTAACTATGAAGAAGCTGGAGCTTGAGCCCAACTAAACGATAATACTTTTTTTATATAGTTGAAAATAAATACTTGCTAGAGGGCCAACAGCTTTGAAGAGAACTCGATAAGCTTAAGGATACGATATACGATATACGATATTACGATATACGATATTACGAAATTACGATATTATTAGAGTTATGTATATTACAATTATATCACATGAAACAGTTTTGTACGCCGCACAAATTCACGAAGATTCCAGCAGCCAGCGAAAGGCTGGAGGATGGCGCCTTTTCTTCTATATATTGCACACTTAGGACCAGCCGGGGAGTGTGGGGAGCAGGGGAGCTGGGGAGCAGGCGATCAGACGAGCTGGGGGGAAGCTGTTTGCCATTTACGGTATCTGGCCGTTCATGCGCATCTCAAGCTCCTCCTCCTCTTTGGTCAGCGGCACCGTCGTATGATTGTACAGACCCTGGGCCATCAGCTGCAGGGCCAGAGGATTCTTCGAGCCCGTCGACTTCTTGATTTTGGCGCGCTTGTTCTGGAACCAGATCTTGATCTGTGCCTCGTTCAGGCCCAGCTCGGAGCTCAGCTGCTGGCGTCGTCGTTCGGTGAGGTAGCGATTCTCATTGAATTCGCGCTGTTAGAGAGAGCGGAAGAGAGAAAGAGAGAGAGAGAGAGATGAGCAAATTGTGTGCGCAATAAAAGGCAACTAGGGTCGGGTCAGGTCTGCTGTGCTAGGTAGAATCTGAGGCAAATCAATTATTTGCGGTTTAGTTGAAAGACATGTAGTGTGAGTGAAATATGAGCATGTCTAATTGGCTTAGTTGAGGACACTGGCATGGCCGTGCCGTCGCCGTCGCCGTCGCCAGGATGCAGCGCAGCGGGCGGCGCAGCGTGTGTAAAGTGTGTAAATATTTTGGTTGTAAATATGACACAACATTGGAGGGATAACTGAGATGGAGTGGGATGGAGTGGGATAGCCTGGTATGGGCTGTTATGGAGAGGATGCTTACCTTTAGGCGTGCCAATTGCTCGCTGGAGAAAGCAGTGCGTGGTCGCTTCTCATCATTGGTCTTGTCCTTTGGTTGCTTGGGGCGACGGTAGCGGGGTCCTGCAATGCCATACAAAAGAGTAGAAAGTTAGTCGAGCGTGCTTGAAAGCAAAAGAATGTCTCCTCCATCCCCCTCACCCAAAACTCGCATATAATTAATGATATTAATGGTTTAATTAGCATATAGTATGTATGTTTGCCCCAGACGCTGCTTTCTCGCATTTACTTGTGGCATGCAACGAGCGAGCGGCTCTGCCGCGTGCTCAATTTGTCAGCTGTCAGAGCAGCGTCTAACGAACTAAACGGAAGCAACGTCCATTCCAGACACGACATTCGCCATTTCAGCTCGACTTTTAATTAATATGACGGGCGACTTCACAGTGAGAATGGGAGAGAGAGAGACAGTGAGAGAGAGTGAGCGAGAGTGCCAAAAGTCAAGTCAAGCGAAAATGACTTAATAATCCCAAACTGCTTAATTCATATTTAGCTAATTGACAAACGATTTCTACTCTTAGCTAATTGCCGGCTCAGGGTCTAAGCCGAGCTGAGGTTGTTTTGCAACCGGCGATTTGAATTTTGTTTAGCTTAGAGTCTTGGAGCAATCGTCGACACATTGTAAATTATAATTTAATTGCCCGATTGCTTAGATAATTTGATTAATCTCGCGCTACGTAATCGCCGGCTATCAACGCCTTGTTGTTAGTGGATCTTGTTGGGCTGTTTCCATCGACACCAAATTAAAAAACCATTTCGAGTCATAAAAAAGCACTTAACTTGTCAATTAACGCATCGCAGCAATAACACCAACACACACACACACACACACATGCTGCTTGGAAAATAGATTTTCCTGTTGCGCTCTGCTCTTTAATGGGCACTTTCTCCGAGCATCGGCAACGGCAGGGATCGTCAATCGTCAGCGCGTTTTAGTGGCAATCGAATATGAAGTCGATGCGTGAATCGTGACCTCTGACCTTCGACTGGCTGTCGGCGATAGCCAAACGAGTCGCCTGCGCTACATGTTGTCACATAAAGTGTCAGCTTCAAAAGGCAGCAGCAGCAGCAGCCGCGCTGCGTGCGGCCCGACCCGGAAGGCTCAATAGGGCCAAAGGCACCCAAAGGCCGACAATCGCCGATCGAGAATTGACAATTGAGAATCGACAATTGAGAATTGAGAAATGAGAATCGAGCCCCGAACACCTAATTGTTGCAGTGTCCTTCGGTTTTTATGACAGTCAACAAGACACAAAACACGTTCATGAAAGGCTGCCGCTGCTCACAGCGTTGGAGGTGGTCCAATGCACCGAAAACAAACACACCCATGTGCCCTGCTACTCATGTGTGAGCGCTACGAGGGCAATTTGAGCCTGATTTATAATTCAGAAACTAATAAGAGCAATCGATAAGACGAGCATACAAAATAGAGTTGGATTAACTGCCGAGGTTTCCGATACTAGCTAAACGGAAGCAAGGAATTCACTAAAGAATATTCCAGCTAATAGGAAATCAGGGAAAGTCTAGAAGACAAGAAAAACTTTGCTTAGCTGCTGCCGTAAATGACAGACCTGTATATAGTATATATATCTATATAATGCAGTAAATGACAATAATTTATAATAATATATATTTAGTTAAATATGTATATTTAGATAGATATAAGTAGCTAGAGTAAGGTCCTATATTTATATAAATATAAATAGCTAGACTGAATTCCTATACTTATTAACTTGGTTTCAAAAATCTACTTTTACAAAAAATGCATCTATTCAAAACAAAAAATTTCTAAAATAGACAGACATTCTAAAGACCTAAGTCTTTGCCATAAAACAAAGCAAACTTAAGATTTTTCTAATATTCGTTTAGTTGTCTTAAAAGCCAAGAAATTCACATATGAACTGGTATTACTTTCTATATAAGACAATCCCTCACTTCTTTCACTTGGACTCAATAATTTCTGTCTAAAATACGAATCCCCTTCATTTCGAAGATCATTCCAATTGCTTTTTATATGATTCATAATAATACCCATTTAATAACAACTTCCCCATCTGTCCATAACCATATAGAAAGAATACACACCTGAGCTGGGACGATCGCTGTAGCGCGTGCAGTAGACCCACGCGGGCCACATCTCATTTTTGCCGCCGTCGGTGGTGGTGGAGCCCGTCTCGGAGCGCGTGTCGTCCGAGGACTCCATGCCGGAGTCACGGCTAACGGCCGATGGAGGGGGTATGGGCTGCGGGCTGCTGGCATTGTTGGCATTATTGGCTCCGGTCAGGCGGCTGCTGGGCGAGGAGTTGAGCGAGCTGGCGGAGGAGGAGCAGGCGCTGCTGCTGCTGCTGTTGCTGCTGGCCGCTGTGGAGGAGCTGCTGCTGCTGATGGTGGATGCATTGGAGGCGGGTGGCGGACTGGCCAGCTGGCTGGCGCTGCTGCTACTGCTGTTGCTCGGCGTTGTTGCCGGGGGCAGCGTCGACTGTGCTTGGCCAATCTGGGAGACGGTCTTGCACAGTGATCCCAGAGCGGACTTCTCCATGCTGGACTCCGTCAGCTTAGCCGTCGGCGGCAGCACAGCATTCGGATTGCCAGCGGCGCTGCGGCGTAGCCGGCTCTGCACGAGCTCCTCGTGGATGCGTGGATAGGCAGCCGGATTGAAGCAGTTGAGCAGATTGGCTCGCTCCAGCATCATTGCAGCGGTGGCTGCGGCGGCCGCCGCCTGCTGCTGCCGGCTAAACTCTAGCAGATCCACACGCGTAAAGGCGGAGGGCGTGGCAGCGGCGGCTCGATTCGCCTCGAAGGGGCGAAAGATGCTGGCCGCAGCCGCAGCCGCTGAGACGGCGCTCGATGGTTCGCCCTGCTTGGTCTGCTTGGCCGCATCCCCGAATCGATCGCTGAGTATGTTTGAGATGGAGAAAGCCAGCGATGGTTTCGATTGCTTGGACTGCTGGTGAGCTGGTGGCGGCAGGCGAGCTGAGCCGGACACCGAGGCCGTGTCGTCCACATCAATGTCATCGTCCTCCTCCTCATCCTCCTCGGTGGTGGTGGTGGCCGTCTGGTTGTGGAAGCTGTCGCCAAGTATCGAGTCGTTCTCCTCTTCCTTGATGGTCAGCGTCGAGGCGGGCGTGGAGCAGGCGCCCGTCGAATGGGCACCCGGTGAGCCACTGGCACTCAACCGCTGCTGGAGTGCAGCCGCATGCAGAGCGGCTGCATCAAAGGCCACCGATGTGGCCGGGTGATGAAAGACGCCAGCCGAGGCGGCCAGCTGTTGTTGATGGAGCTGCTGCAGCTGCTGGAGCTGATGCAAGTGCTGAAGCTGCTGCTGCTGATAAAGCGTTGCCGCCGTAGCGGCTGATCCCGGACCCTGCAGACTCATGTCCAGGGCTGAAATTGATATGGGTATTGCGTGAATGCGAATGTTCGCCGGATGCTGCAGTAGATGCGGTTGCTGCTGCTGTGGAGGCGAGTGTGGCAAACAACCTGGTGGACTGGGCGCTGATTGTGGACTGCAGCGATCCTCAAGGGCCATTTGTTCACTTCACTTGCTCAATTCAATTTCAGTTTCTTCTTCTTCTTCTTCTACTACTTCTTCTTGTTCCACACTTTACACTTCACTAGAGCCGTGAATTCACTTTGACAACTGTTTGCCTTTTGTTTTTGTAATACGCCAAATTTGTATCTTTATTTATTTGTATCTTCGTTTCGTTCTCGTTTTGCTTTTGCTGTTGCTGTTTGCTGTTTGCTGTTTGCTGTTCCGACAACTGCGACGCGCACGTCTGTTCCATGCGAGCTCAACGACTAAATTAACTAATCACAGTTGCCTGCCGCTGCGACGAAGCCAGCAGAAGCAGCCAGCGACCGATTGAACTGTCAGCGCGAGAGCGAGATAGTCGCCAGTGTTCGTGTTCGCATGGGGTGCACAATCGTATGCATGCGCCTGTGTGTGTGCGTCCGTGTGTGCGGGCAAGAGCGAGAGCGAGAGAGTGTGTCGCGTCGCGTCGTCGTCGTCGTCGTCTGAGCTCTGACAGTGACGAAGACGATGCTCAGACTTCGACTGTTCAACTGTTCGACTGATCGATTGGCAGAGCTGCCGTCGCTGCTCTCAGCTCTCAGCACTGACACACACACACTCTCTCTCACTCGCTCGCTCGCTCTCTCTCTGGCTGTGACACTCTGCACTGTTGTCACCTGTAATCTGACAGCGAGACAATGTTTCCAGTCAGCGCAATACAAGAGCGAATCAACGTCGAACCGGTTTTTGGAATTCGTACTGAGTTTTTGCTCGCTCACTCGTTCGCTTGCCTGCTCACTCACTCCGCCTTCACTTTGCGTTGGGGCCCGCGCTTGTTAGGGCTCGATATGACTTTATTATTGGGAGCTGTCATGCGGTTGACAACTGTGTCGCTGTCTGCGTCTGCGTCGTCGTCGTCGCCGTCGTCGTTGTCGTTGCCGTTGTTGCTGCCGCTCTCTCGCAGTGGGGCGTTGCCATGCGGCAGTATAGCTGGCCTGCTTGCACACATATGCGCATGCGGCGGAAAATGGCTGCGTTTGTTGGTTTTGCTAGTTGATTTATCAAAATTGACGCTGTCTCAGTCTCTGTCTCTGTCTCTGTTGAAACGGTTGACTGATGCGACCCACTACACTACCCACCCCCCTCTCAGACACACACTCACACTCTCTATGCTCCTCTCTCTTTTACACTGATGAACAGTCCGCATTTAGTTGTGTTGATTTTGTTTTTGGCCGCGACGTTTCAATCTAAAAACAACAACTTTATCGACACTCAACGAACAGAATGATCGACAATCGACACACGCACATATGTATCTACACAAATATATCTATATAAAGCACTACATATATATTTATATATATATGTATATCTTGGATGCCTTGAATCAATTAATTGATTCAGTGAGGCGCTCTGATTGATATTTAATTGATTTTTAATTTATTTATTTAAATAGCGCGCATTACATATTGAATACACATTAAATATCAATTTATTTAGCGAAGCGTTAAAACACAAATAAAAATTCATATAAAGCTATCGAAATTTGGCATTGATCACCAAAACTCCAAAATCTCTTATCTAAATTCAAATCACGAAAAATGTGAAACATGTGTAGCAAATATATACATATATATGTTTGTAGATATAACTGCTAAAATATTTTATATAAATCAAGATGAAGAAGAAGAGGAATGACCAAATCTGCGCTCGCTAATGAAATTCATTAAAATGTGATATTTATTGTTAATATTTCTTACTCTGTCCCATCTTGTGAATGAGAGCTTTTGTAGACTTGATTTATTCCGAATTAAAATTATTGTTAGATAAAAAAACAATACGAATGCCATTTCTGGTTTCCTATTTTCATTTATTATTCAGAAACGACATAATCAATAAGCCATAAGAACGCCCCAACAATAGCTTAAAAATTTCAAATTTCAGTTGAATTTGGATTTTTTTTTTTTTTTTAACTCAACCCGTTTTATGGAATAGCAACAAAAGTCTCACACACCCATATACACACGTAGAATTAATTTAATTTTTATGCGCATTTTTTATTTAAATTGCAGCAAATAAATAAATATACTTATATAAACTAATTTTGGACAGTTAAATTAATTAAATAGCGATAAGCAAAAATGCATTAACAGCGCGCTTAACCGTTTCGGAGTTAACCGTTTCGAAGCACTCACACACTTCCAGTCCACTTGACGGCAGTCAGCCATTACGTGCCGACTGGAAAGTCGAAAATTCGAACTCCAAAGCAGGCTGCCACAGCTAGCTGGCCCGCTCGCACCCATTGCTGTGCTGAGCCACACACAAAGAGAGAGCACCAAAACAATGGCTGCTCCTGCCGTTGCTGTTGTTGCTGTTGCTCTTGTTTCGGCTTTGCTGTCGCTGCGCTGCGCTGCGCTGCCGACGGCTCTGAGCGACAATAAAAGCAGCTGTTGATTTTTCCGCTTAGCGCTTGCCGCCAACCCCTTTGCGTTACGCTTTTATTGCCATGATTTTCAATTATTACTCTTGTCATGTTTGCTTTGGATTTGCGTGCTCGACAAGCGATGGCCACAAAGGGTTAAACAGCCGCCGACAGTTGCGTAAAAACGCGTTAATTAAACTTTTTTAACTTGTTTTTGATTACACGTACATACATTTTTTATGTGTCTCTGCGCTTGTATCTAACGAGCACTGGGAGTTGCCTGCCAGCTGCTAATGAGCCAAGTTTTCTCCCCCTCTCCCATTCCACAAAACACACTGACTACTGTTTGCGGCTAATGATTTGCTATCTGTTATACTGTTATACTGCTTTTTTCCCTGCAGGCAATGAATACAAGTGCAAAATGCATTTTAATCTTAATTGCTGCGACAACTTAATTTGACCCGCGACACTTTTTCTGTTCGCTCGCTTATCTCATATGCAATTTCTGCTCTCCCCCCAGCTCCATTTTTTAATATTTAACCAAAAAAGAAACGAAACAAAAACACATGTCTGACAAGGCAGCCACGAGCGCGCCCTCTGGCGGTCAACGACGCTAAACGGCTTTAACCAACTCTCAGTTTGGAGTCTTCCTTCTCTGTGTGTTAGTGTGTGTGTCTGTGTTAGTGTGTGGGGGTAATTTAAAATTCATATTTTACACGCAGAAGAAACGCGTTTTCCATGCGTCGGTCTTCAGCTTGTGCTGAGTGCCAGCGTGAGAGGCGGCGAGAGTTATTAATGATGCCAGCTAAAGCCAGAGCATACCAAATACATTAACACACACACACACACACACACAAGTATATAGTTGTATTAGTGCGTTAGCATCAGTATTACGCCTCGGCCTGTACCCAATTTCCTGACTTGCGAGCCTTACCCTCGGCTAAGCCTGTGTCTCCGACATCCATTTGTATATTTTATTGCAGGATAATTTGTAATCTTCTAATTGCACTGTTCAACAAAGTTAAGGTAATGCATTTAGTAACAACTAGTATTAAATATAGTAAAAAATGAAGGTAGTAATCCTAAGTAGTAAAATAAAGTATTATAGTATAGTATTTATTAAATAAAATTAGTAATATTTCAGGCGAAAAACAACTAGAAAAATTCCTGTAAAAAATGAATTTTAATAGAGCGCAATAAACAAATTCAGATATAGTTTCGTAGTTTGTATCAAATAATAAATAAATAAAGTATAATATTTACTCAATATATAGTTATACTACGAAAAATGCTAAATTTATATATTTTTTATGCAAGCTACAGAATTTATATTTATATAAAAAAATATACATTTAATTAATTAAAAATTTGTTAATATTGCTAAAATAGTATTCCATTAAACTTCACCGGTAAGGGTATTGAAATTCGTAGCCTGAACAGAGATTAAGCTGTGCTTTAATTAAAATTGAAGTTGACTCGTTAATCGTTGGCCAACAACTTCAGCATTTGCCACACTAAATCTTTTCAAATAATGCCCGAAGCGCTCGAAAATAATTTAATTTTTTTTTTTTTTTTTTTTATATTGATTTTTGTTGTGCTTGTTTTTCTTGGATATTTCTTTAAGACAGATGTCGCCTTTGGTGGTTGAATGCGTTTAGGGTTAAATGTTAATGAACTTGTTGATTATGCGATTTGACTACTTTATTTGCCATAATGGAGGAGCGGAGTCAACTAAACGGGTTATGCGATTCGCCAGAGATAGTTAACGAACATTATATGGCCAATCGTGGATTTGGTTGTTAATATAGTTTTTATTATTTTATTTTTTATTTATTTTTCAAATTTTACGACTCAACGAGTCTAATAATATAAAAAGTTATAAAAACTGGAGAATAAATAAAACCAACCATATAAGCCGATGTTTGAGAGTCATAAATTTTTTATGACTTCATCACTTGAAGGCAACACGAATTTGCATTCGCTGGCCAGTTTGTCAAATTGGCCAAAAATGGCCAAAAAGAAAACAACACGACAGCAACGCAACGTGCTTTCAATCAATTAACAGATCTTTAATCGTTGTTGCAGCTGTTGTTGTTGTTGCTGTTGCTGTTGCTGTTGCTGTTCCTGTTGTTATTGCATTTGGTAAACAAACTCGAGCGGATTTTAATTTGCGGTTGTAATTCAACAAAATTGTTTTTCTCTCAGCTAATTTGTCAATTTGCCTACGCTTGGCTTTGTTTCCAGCGCTGGCTCGTTAAAGTCGCTAATTGGAGGCAAATGCCAAAAAAGGCTAATATCTTACTTTATTGTTTAAGCAATTTGCTTAATTGTTGGCGCTTTCCACTGCTGCCTCTGCAGTCGTTAACTGAAATCGAAAGTTGCGTTCGAATTGTGAAAGCATTTGCTAACAACTTATGTAGCTTACGATTGTTCGTTTAGAAGGTTTTCTATGCCTTAAGTCTTTGGCTTTTTTCAGTCGTAGTATTAGAAATAGATATAAGAAAATCGTAGTATTAGAAAAATACACTTGGCAAAGTTTGTATCTTAAGTCTTTCATCGGTCTTGTTTAGTCTTATTAAATTTATCCTCTCTAAAGTTTATTCCTATTCGTTTATTCGAGAAGATTCCTTACTCTCTCACTTTGTGTATTAAGACGTTCATTTGGTGGACTTGCTTTGTGTGTGTCTTTAAGTTGTTATTCTAGCTATCGCACAAGTCTATCTTTCACTTTAAAAATTTATAGAAAATGAGGAAGTTTCGTACCTTAATTTTTTGTCTCCAAGTTTGTGTCCTAAGTCTTTAGTTGCCCACCAAGTCCAGCTCAAGTTATTCTTTCTATTAACTGGGATTTCTCACTCAGGCCTCACGTCTCTCGTTTTTAATTGTTCAACACTTGCCAAGTTTGTGTCCTA